TATATATATATATAAATCTTTCAGTTACTTCTACTACTACTACTAATAATAAAATAAAGTATTAAAAAAAAACTTACATTTACTTTATTTCAGCTAGTTGCCAAGTCAGCATTTCTCATTTTCATTTAGTTTAACTTGATGTATTAAAATAACTAAAACTAGAACTGAAATAAATATTAATTTTAAATATTAAAACCATACAGATATGGTTACAGACAAAATATATAGACATAGACAAAAACACAAAAAATAATAAAAATGACAAAAACATACAACACATTTACTAAAACTTTAACTAAAATGAAAATGAAATTGGAAATATTTAAAATAAAAACTAATTCAAAATATTAATACAAACTATAATACTATTATCTCAATGATTCAAAATTACTTTTAGGGTTGCGTGTGCTTTCAACAGAAGGACAGAAATTTCTGAGGTTTCATTCAAAATATCTCCATTTGTGTTTTGAAGATGAAAAGTCTTGTGGGTTTGGAACAACATGAGAGTAAATGATTTAATGAATGCATTTACATTTAATTCAGAAACACACAGTGAAAGAGGAACGGATGAACACAGAAATATATACAGTAGAATCTCTTACTGTAACCCCTCACGTGTTATTACAACTAAACTAAAACCATACAATAATCTAAATGTTAACTAAAATAAAATAAAATACAAAAAAAATGTATTTGAGTTCAGCTAGTTGTCAAAGCATTTAAAATAATTAAAACTAAAACTGAAATAAAAATGTATAAAAAAATAAAAAAAATGGCAAAACACAACAAAATTACTAAAACTTTACATGAAAATGACAATATAAAATATTTAAAAAATTAAATATTAAATATTAATAAAAATCTTATGATAGTGTCTCTATGATTCTAAAATAACACTGCTGTAATAATAGATGACAAATGTGAGACAATTTTCAGCCAATGTTTGCCAGTATATTTTTGTAAGAGAGGGAAAAGTCTACATTTAAGGGTACACTACTAAAGATTAATTACATTTGCATTAGACAAAACACATGAAAATCTGTGCTGCTTTCTCTCGATTTATGACCATAAGCCTACAAACAAATTTATATTCAGAGCTGCAGTTTCGTGTTTCAGCCACAGATGGCGGTAGAGAGCGGAGAGCGCACACTTCATTTACAGTCAATGAAAATCAATCAGATGTTCAGTCTGCTTAATGAGTATTTTGGTATCGACTGTTCAGTGGACAACATTCACAACTGACAGAATTCACAGTAAAAAAAACACTAGATCTTCGAGATCAGAGTAGCACATATTCTGTCATTCTACTTATGGAGGAGTCTGTGTTTCGATGAGACTTCAGATGGCTTTCATTAGGCACCAATGTTCCCATCTCATCCAATCAGCAGTCCCTAAACCATTACAGCAGGTGAGTCCAAACTTTTAATGCACTGAGCTGCACTTGATTCCCCGCGGAGCGTTTCCCCGCTGCTAATGCGGCCCGAGGAACGGCTCGAAATGCACCATTAAACCTGCCAGAGAATTAACTTGGACAGAACTTCATTATGTCACACACGAGGCCCTGCGACCGTATGATTTGAGGAAAACCAATATTGCTGGCTAGAGAAGCGAGTTGGTTCGTTTAGATACATAATTAGAGTCAATCAGCCATGGACCTGCGGTGAGTGTTGAGATTCAACAAACAGAAACAGAAGAACGATTTTCCACACAAAACTGATCCGTGAGTTCTGCTGAACACGGCTGCAGAAAAATATACACGCAACAGTACTCTATTCCTTTTGCAGATATCTGAAAACAATGTGCTCCTGTTCATTTTGGTGTTTCAACTCATTCAATCATAGTTCATGTTTAAGGATATAAAAAAATGAATGCATCAGTTATAAAATTAAGAAATATGAGGTTTTGTTAATATACCAAAGCCCAAAGTGTTTCAAAGGTCGCTTTCAAAAAACAGCTCAAGTTTCTCAATGTAGTTCTTAAAGTTCTCAACTTGTCATTTCAAAGCAGGCTTACTGTTAAACAAAAATAAAAAAATAAAATAAAAAAATTATATATATATATAAAATGTATGTGTGTGTTTTCAATTATTGAAACATCTGATTGATATCATATGTTGTATTTTGGGCTGTCTGTATCCTTTAAAAGTTTGCTAATGTATTTATGTCTCCCATTCAGGTGAATTTATGTTTACACACACACACACACACACACACACACACACACACACACACACACACACACACACACAGAATTATAAATTGTTCGTAGAATTCTAAAATGTTAATTTGTTCTACTTTTAAATGTATATACATGCATGTTTTTGTTGCATATATATCTGTTCTAGATTTAATGTAAACACTATGCTTTGGCAATACATTGTAACAATTGTCATGCCAATAAAGCACATATTGAATTGAATTGAGAAAGAGAGAGAGAGAGAGAGCATTGACTCTGTAAACTCACTCCAGCTCCCAGCGCCAGTCTCCCAGATCTGCAGGAGCTCCTGTAATCTATCACACAAATCAACACAAAACAACATTTCCACACCAGAACCCACACGTCTCCGTCCGCAAATGAACCCGGCAGATTGCAAACGTCTAAACAGCAGCGACAAATAATGAAAAGCATTGATCAGAAGGCATATGAAGCTCTGAGCTTGTGGGCCGCGCTTGTCCTTCGTCCCGACCGTCACACTGTTTCATTTCTGCATTAAAAGAAGTGCAATCTGAAATAAACATCTGAGCGCAATGCAAAGGCAGTGATAAGTTCGGCTCTGGATTCATGCTGACAGACAGTTTCATTTGCGGCCCGGACACTAATTTCCTGCGTCTATAGGAGCGTGTTTTGAGCTCAGAAACACTGGCGAGACGCTCTCGCTGCATTCATTCCCTCCTTCATTTGCATTGAAATGGGAATGCCATATTTCATTCCTGTCCCTGCTACACTTATACTTATTTATATATTTAAAACCATATAAAATCTATTTAAACTATTTGCTATATAAAAACCATAAAGACATTTAAATATACAATAACAAAAACACACACCAACGTCACTAAAACTTTAACTAAAATTAAAATGAAAACAGAAAATATAAAAATAAAATCTAATTCAAAATGTAATGTAAAAACTTTATTTTTTGTTAATATATCGATACTAAAATTACATTGGTTCATTCACTCATTCAAGCTTCAAAAACATGCAAAAGTACCATAAATTACGTTTCTGAAGCCATATGATAACTTTGTGTCCAAATTTGTAAATAATCACAACTTATGATCATGTAATGGTGCTTCTATGAAGCTTGAAGTTTATGAAAAAAAAAATATTTTATTAAATTTATTTCAGCTAGTTGCCAAAGAAACATTTCACACAAGCTGAAGCACTAAAATAGCTCAAACTAAATAAACTAAAATTAAAAACTGAAACATAAAACTTAATAAAAGCTAGACATATTAAAAAACATTCAAAATGACAAAAACACAACAAAATTAGTAACATTTTCAGAAAATATAAAAATAAAATCTACTTCAAATTTAAAATACAAACTGTATTTTGCAGTTGTGCAGTTACTATTTGATTCAACGGAGGTCAAACGGTATTGAGATGATATTAAGTCGAGTAAATGATGACAAAACTTTCCTTTTTTGGCAGAACAAATATTTTAGCCCTGTGTAAACAGATGTAATCAACATAGCTGTCATGACAAAAGAAGGAAACGAGCTCCGTAAACACGACGAACACACGTCTGACTATACGATCAAAACAGCACATCACCCAAAGAAGAAAAGAGCGGACTGAAAACATCAGCCGTGTCATCAT